TTTTTTAAATTATACATTTTATGTATACGAAATGGATTCAATTATTTATGTTTTTCTACGGAACTTATGATTGCTTAGAAGTTTATCGCTTTTTTTTTTCTTTTTTGCTTGTTTTTGCGCTGGTTTGTCTGCATGTTATTTGTCTATCTTATCCAGTTTGACGGTCAACTGACGGAGTGGCAGATTTTACCTAATTTTTCCAGGTCGTCTTTTAGTCAAGGAAACAAGAGGAGGAAATCTTGTTGGTGTCAACAGCTTTTCTTGGACACGGGGTCGTAATTGATTTTGACCGCTTCATATGGTTTAGTTTTCCATAGTTTCATACCCCTTTGTCGTTCCTTCGTTCTAACACGGCTTAACCGTTCTGCTTGTCCGTTACTCTTTTTACCAACTAGACAACATTTAATTTTCTTCTTCTTTGTTGCTTTTTCCTCGTTATTGAACTTTACTGTCCACTGTGAAACATGGAAACTTATCTTTTCGAGATCTAATCGAAAAAATGGCCTGAGAAAAATAAACTTTTTCTGCAGTCAGTTTCATTTTATTTATAACTATTCCGTAGAAGACTTGTTAATCTACGGTTTATTTTTATATTTGACGGCTTTTTTTTTTTTTTTTTTTTGAAATAATGTGGAAGTTTGGCATTGTTTTTTTTTTGTTTTTTCTTAGTTTGTGTTTCCTCTAAGGCTATTTATGCACTCGCATTTCAAAACCTATTAATTTATCAGGAGTTTTTGCCTCCTTCTCCATCACTTTCGTGTAGAGAATAGATCAATTTTTTTACAGAACTGACTTTTGCGATGAGAACCGATAGTTTCAAATTGTAGTGATCTTATGACTGATATTCCCGACATCGTTCATTGCACTGCATTGAGCAACAAAATTGCTCTCGCAAAGAGAACTTCCGCACAGGCTCCTGCTAATGGTAATTTTGATTTCTGCTATAGGTACCGGTAATTTTAAAATGATATTCTAGTTCTTGTTTAACTAAAAGCTTCAATGCGCTGAAGTGTTCACGGGATTCTTTAAGCTGAGCAATTGTTATAATGCTTTTTAGGGGATTAGGAATCATGAACTGAGGTCAGTGGTACTCTATAGTTTTGAATTTTAAATGTATTTTCTCTACTTAGTAAGAACTGAGTTACCAGGGTACTTTGTCAGAACCTTCGTAGCTTTATAATTTGAATTTTTGGCTCAGTTTTAAGCTTAATTTTTTCTTGGAGTCTGGTGTTTTTGCGCAAATTTTCATCATGTTAAGGAAGAGACGGAACGTTGGAGTTGTTCTAACTCCTTTAGAAAGTGGCTGAATTTTAACAGTTACGCAACCTCTCTAATTAATGCAGAAAATTGAAAAGTGAAAGTGAACTCTTAGAATGGGGTTTAAAACTGTCAGTAATTATCAGGTTGTTACATTTTATATGGTACACCTTAAAGTTTTTTTTAAAGGGGATATGAAGTTGTTTCTGATTATTTCTTTTTTATTTTTGCTGGGAAGATCTTAGCCAAATGACTTTTGTTTTACATGTCTGAACGACTTTGCAACCAGGTTTCATGAGCTTCTACAAATTTTATTAGATGTGCTGTTTATTTCACAGTATTTGTGTTATTATAAAATTCTTTTATGTTGACTGTTTGCATGAGCTGGTTTTCTTATCCTTTAGAGTAGAAGCTGCACTGTTTGAGAACAAGAACTTGTTAGAGGAGAAAAAAAGTTTGATTGAAGTATGCCTTTGTCTACATATCATTTCACCACTTATCATTCTTCTCGTACCGTGTTTGATTTTGGTCTTTTAAGGTAACAATTTGTCGATGGATGCAGAAGATAGTTTACCTGCAATTGCAACGGCTTCAGTAACTGTTGAGGGTAGTACTTCAGTTGCGCCCTCTGATGCAACTGCCGAGGCCGAATACAATTTTGATGTAATGTCTTTTCAAAATTTTTTTGTATAACAGTATTTTCAACTGGTCTGTTTCGTTATTTTAGACTTTTATTAGTTATATCGGCGACTTTGTGTAAGTTTAGGTCTTACTGATCGTAAATTCTGTTCTCCAAAATTTTGTATGTTTCATTTTTTCGTAAAACGTAATTTTTAGGAAAGCACTCTTTTACCCGAACGGATTGAAAGTTTGAAGCAACATGAGTTGCTAATGCTTTGCAAGAATACTGTTGGTTTTTACTCGACGCTTATCGCGCATTACTTTGCAGCCTTTGATTGGCAAAAGGTAGCTTTTTAGCTTACCCTACATGTCACGCAACAGTAATATTGAAAATTATTAGGGCTTATTCATATCAGACTCTATCCTGTTGTTTTAATTTGAGTCAGTTCTTCTCTTTAGAAGAAATCAGATTTTTTACCTTTGTAGGATGTACCGCTGCATTCACGATTATTTCACCTAGAAAATGCTCAGTTTTTGTATTTTTTTTCTGCAGGCCCGACTTTGCCGTTTGCGCATAGAAGCTTTGGGTAATCGGAATGATAAACAGCTAACAACTTTTGCAAATATAGCTCGTAATCTAGAGCAACTTAAGTTCGGTGCTGCGTTGAAATTATGTAAAGAAATGGATTACACGACTATATCTCTTCGGTTCGTCGTTTCTGTAACATTTTTAATATTGCTCTTCTTCTTACTACAACTTTTAAAACTACGGTATAGGTAGCAAAGATGATTTAACGACGCAGTACCTGGTCATTTTTCAGCAAACTTATGGCGGAAGTTCAAGAGCGGCTTTTTCTTTACGTCCTCCTCTTAGTTCAAAATTCGTATACCAGTGTTGAAGTCAATTATCTGGCTGAAATGTTGGACCTTCCGCAGGCAGATATGCCAAAAGTACTTCCAGCTCTTGATTATTCTCATTTACTTTTTTCAGTTAGAAATTTCAAGATACAGATGCCTGGAATTTTTTGAATCTTTTAAGCTGTTGCAGATCTGATGAATTTTTTTTCTTGATCTTGTAGTTTTCAAGGTTCTTCCGACTAATTCACTTTTTTTACAGATATTTGTAGCATCAAACTTTGTATCATTTTTTTTCTGGGTAAATGTTCAAAGTTATTCTGACAAGAGATCTAATTTTGCCATAGGTTTTTTTATTTTGTCGGAAAATAATTTTCAGGTCGCTGAAAGGTTTGGGTGGATTATTAGCAATAATGGGTTTGTTTATCCAAAGATGTCATCGGAATTTAGTGCGGCTTTGGAAGTGAAAAAAAATACTCCATTTGGTGAAATATCGTTATGCCCTCTAAATACTACTCGAAAATATTCCTTTTGTAAAAATCCAGATGAAAATTTGAAAGATCTAGCAAGCTTTGTTGCTTCTATGGAGACGTGATAATATAATTTAAGTTATTATGTATATGTTATTAGTCTCGTAACATTCATATAAGCTCTTACTGAAATTTTTCGAAGTAAGTATAATATCTGCGGTGGCCTATTTTCAAAGCAGCTTTTTTTGTTTCTCGGAATGAGGGTTTATTTTCCCGAGGAATCGGGTCACTGTTTCACTTTGTATACGCTTGGTTTTTTTTTATTTGTCATAGTCATTATTTTAGTTTTAGGTAATTTGAATGGAGCTTTGAAGTTGAAATAATTATTGGTGCTTTTTTGTTAATGCTTTTCTTGTCCTGATTTCGTTTGTAAGTAGATTTTCTGCAAGTTTTTTTTTCGCATTTTGGTAACATTTGTTAAAGCTTTTTAAGCGTGCAATTTTTTGGTAAATCTTTGACTTGTTGAAAATGAGGCTTTAGTGAGATGCACAGAAATTGGAATTTTGCATCAGATGACGACCTGGTTTGCTTTTATAATTTATTTTATTGGTGATGTTGCGTGGAAACTCACTAACATCAGCTGGAATTCCTGTCGTTTCGTGGTTTTAGATATAGAATGGAGGTATTACGTGATTCGCTGTAATTTTCCTGCTTGGTTTTATTTGGGAGGTCCTGATTTTTCTGTTGTTTGGAACGAACGCGGAGATTGTTGAGTCGTTCTCTCGCACAGCACAAGATTTTTAACGTAGTAGTTTTGGAGAAGTCTGGCAAGTCTGGTCTATAATTCTGCATATTTTGCAAGAAGTGGTATGTTTTTTATAAAACAGTGACATTACTGAAATCCAGAGGCTCATTGTGTAAGACTGTTTTGCCTGACAGCCAGAGCTTGTTGTCTGGGTGATAGGAGACTAAATGTTTTGAAACTCTAGTTTAGAGGCGTGCGTGTGACGCTTTCTCTGTGCAGGTCATGGATGGTGGAGGCAACGGTCGTAGGAAACTTTTAGAGTAGCAAGTTTCAGGGTCAAACATCTTAATGTCATAGAGTACCGGGGAAAGCGGACATCTATTTTCCCTTAGGTCATTTTGAACTACTAATCTTTTTTGTCAGTTTGATTTTTTGTAGGGCTTGGATTCTCTCATCGTGTTACTTTTTTTTACTTTATTTGGTAGATTAGAAGCAATATTTGGTGCTGCTTTCTGCCATCTATTTGTTGTACTGTGTTGTCGGAAGCAACTTAACTTTGTACACTATACTGGTTATTATCTGCGGTGGATAATTACTCTTCAAGAAGAGCTAACTCTAATTTGGGCTTTAAGTTAGGCACACAAAAGAAGGAGCATAGAAGGTTATATTTTGCTTTATAAACAGTAACGTTTCGTTGGTGTTCCGTAAAATTAGTTTTTGTATATTTATGCACTTGTTGACGGTAGTTGAAAGATTCGAATCTAGAATGATCATGATGGATCAACCGGTGTATAATTCAGCTGAGTCAATGCGAATTAAGGAGGGTTATTCTGCACTATTTTATCAGGATTTATCAAACTGATCGTTAGATTAGATCAGACGGAATCAGTTAATTGACAGGTGTAGAACTGACAATCATTTTTTACAGATTCAGGTTGCACAGTGTGATCATAAGCTTATCAAGCGTATAATTGGACATAAAGCTACAGCTGGTAAAAAAGGTTAAATGATTAAGTGAGAAGGGGATAATAGGTGTAACGCAAGAGATATCAATTTT